TTCTGGCAAACTGAACTGCCTGCAGTGGTGTGTGCTGGGTGGTGTCCAAAAGACTGCGATACAGGACTGGCCACTGAAGTTGGGGAAATCCTTTCTTAGGATAAGCTCCGCTGGGATGTGCTTGTGAGGACAGATTGGAACACTGTGACTTGATGGTTTATCTGTACAGTGAATGTATATTCCTGTGTTCAGATGTACCCTGAAAGCAGCAAGTTTCTTCAAAGCTTTCTCCCATTCTAAGTGAAGTCTTAAATCATTAAAGCTGAGAGCTGAAACTCTTTCATACTATATATGGCATTTGTGTGAGTGGTGGAAACCGGAGTGTATTTATAATGCTAGTTTGCTGCAGGAATACGGATTGGGAACAAATGTTTGTTTGGATAAAATCCAACTCCAGGGATTGGTTTTACTGCTGCATGTAAAATCTGTAGCAAGCTTGTAAAAGCAGCAGTTGAAAAATCTGATAGGGCCTTCCCCATGGAAAAACATGAATTTGGTGTAACATTATGTAGCTAGAGTTACTTGTGATGGTTCACGTAGTAGTCAGTGACCCTGTGCGTAACATGCTGTCTGTCACGCTGGAATGCAGGGATGCTCTTACATTGTTGGCACACGCGGAGATTGTTGGTGTTACTTGTTAGTATGTGCTGCTATTTCCATACATATTCTTCATTTGTTTAGAAATACCCATTTGTGCCCTAAGTAATATTTCATGAAAATTGCCACTGTATTCTTAACAATATTGCATAGCATTGACATGAGCAAATCGAGCCATAAAATGAGCTGAGCTGTTTTACATACTGCTGATAAATACTTGAATGAAAACAGTTGGCAAAAAAAGGACACAAGTGTCTTTGGGTGTGTTGATTTAACTGTCTCCATTCAGTCCAAGTGGTCTGTTTGGTTTGCCTAACTCATTAATCCTTTCTATTGCTGTATGGCTAATGACTGTATGTTGAGCCTCTGTGGAATAATCACCATTTGGACTAAGAATGCTCGTATCCAAAGTCATAAAAGGATTGGTTTTTGTTTTGTTTTCTAAAACTGCTATTTCTGTTGTTGTTGAAGGATGTTCAGAAGGAGAGAGAACCTCATGTTTATCTCAGTAAAGAAGAAGTTAAAGAGAAGATACAAAGCTATAATTCATCTGTCACTGATAAATTAAAGATGACCTTGGTAAGTTTTGCATGGGATTCCTGTAATTTTTAATAGGAGCACTTGAACTGTGACTTTGTAGTGCATTGTGAATCATTTTAGTCTCAGCATCTTACATATGAAACTATCTCTGTTTTAATAACTTTGTAAGAGGCTCTTTCTTAGATCTGGAAATTAAATCTGACATCTGAAATGTTTTTAATCCACGTAGCTCCGTTTATATGGATTGAAACAAACTGTAGTAGGACAAAATATGTCGTTTGAAATGTGTTCAAGATACATCTTAGTGTCAACTGAGTTTAAATTTGTCAGATGAAAACCATCAGCTGGTAAACATGAAGATACGTTTATCCTGTTTGTGTAGATAAATTTTTGTCAGGTATCTCTCTGATAAAGATGCTCAACCAACGAGAAAAGTTAAAACATGCAGTATTTATTATGGGAGACTTAATTTGTAGTCATGAAGGTTTTCAGCATGAGGAGACTTCCTTCCCCCCGCCCCCATAACACAGACAATACAGACAATGGAATGCATATATATTTTTCATTTCCAAGGATTGTGGACCAGGTCTAAGTCTCAGTCCAGCCTACTGCAGATCACGCTAATAAAATTCACATCTATCTGCCTAGCAAGCTGTTACTTAGTTGTTGTGTTGTCCCCATTTTTCTGATACATTAGGTATTCCTGTGGGTGTATAGTACATGGAAATTTTGCAATTCCATTATATCCTAAACCATATAAGTACGACTATGTACTAAAAAGATTTTTTAAGTGTGTGCATGTGGGTCGGGACTTACTATGTCTAAAACCAGATTGCCTAAAGTGTTCTAGCTCAGTAAGGTTTGATCAGTTTTACTATTTTGTCTTTCAGAAGCAACTAGAAGAAATAATTTGAAAAGTTGATTAGATTGGCATTTATTCTGGTCCTTTTTGAATTGCAACAGGATTTGAGCATCTAAACGCTTTAGACTAATTTGACAAGCACAGCTAATGTGTGGGAGATAGTTTCATTTGTGCGTAAAAACTGTTGTTAAAGATGCGTGTTAGTGGTCTATTTCACTTCATAATTCTTTCCTAATGTGAAAACTTACAACTAGTTTGCAGTACCTTTTGCTTGATGAGATCCTAATACTCTTAGAATTCAGTAGTTTTAATTAAGAAAAAAATAATATTCAGCAGAAATACCAGAAAGAATGTCTGAATTATTGAAACAACATCTTTCCTATGAGACATCACGTATTACAGCAGCATTTAAATTGTGTTCACTATGACCATTTTAATCTGCCTAATCCACTAATACGTCACAACTGGTCAATACTAATTTTAACTGTTTGATACTTTCCTCCTGATGCAGAATGCAAATGGGATTTACACTGGCTTCATCAAAGTTCAGATGGAACTCTGCAGACCGATCACTGTGCAGTCTTCCCAGAGCCAGGGGAGGTGTGCTCACAGCAATAATGAAACTGCTTTTTACTTGCCGGACGGCTGCGTGAATACCCTTCACATCAGCAGCACCAATACTGTTCGTGAAGTTATTGAGGCCTTGCTTAAAAAGTTTTTCGTGGCTGACAACCCTGCGAAGTTTGCACTTTATAAACGCTGTCACAAAGAAGACCAAGGTACATGTTAGGCTTGTGGCATTTTGGTAGTTACAGGGGTTTGGGGAGGGAGTTGTTCTATAGGAACACTTGAAATAAGCAGGGTGGAAGAACTCAGATAAATGGAGGTGACAATCTTGCGCTCTCTCATCTTTTTTCTTTGTGAAAAGTAGCATGTGTAAGAGAGTAAATGATTTGGGGATATTTCAGGATAATTCGCAAAAGACAGAGAACCCACTAGACCATCTACACATCTCCTGTGCCTTGCACTCCATTATATTTTATTTAAGATGCCCCCTTATCAGGCTCTAAATTTCAGACCACCTGATATACTGCAGATTTGAGAGATTAAATTACAGGACAGATTTTTAAAAAGAGAAACCATGGTGTCTATGATACCTCAAGTCTTTGCATTGGCAGAGAGCTGTTGAGGTGACGAGCGTCATGGGCACGTGCTCTGTGTTTGCGTGTGTTAGTGCACATGGCTCTCCCAGTGCACTGCCTGCTGTGAGAAGTTCGTTGTATATTATGTTTGGAAGTACCAGAAGATGCAGAAGGTACTCTCAGTGAAAAGTGCGTTTTGCCAACGTTGTGCTCTTGCACTTAGAATCCGCCTTCTTCCACGGACATTGTGAGCAGTTTCAGGAGTTCAGACCTTTCTGACTGTCAGTCACACCAACTGTGTTGGGAAGGCAGAGTTGTCTCTTAGACTTTGTGTATGAGTTTTTAAGTGGAAGAGGTATCAGAATGGTGATACCACAGCTCTGATGTCTTAAATGCTTAGTTATAGCAGTAGACCTGTGTTGTATTTTTTGCTTGTGCTTTCTCTCCCTGCATGTATTCAGATGGTGTACTGTGTTGACTAGAGGCCATTTCATTCCTATGTGAATGTAGTTTTGCACTGTTACCATCAGTCATCTGCTCAGCTTCTCCCTAAAACTCATTTGCTCAAAACCAGGGTGCAGACTAATATGTAAACAGTATGTAGAATGTGTTGATTTTTGTGGCTACGCATGCGTATCTCTGAAATTTTCTAATGTTAGCTAGCGTTAATCATTCAAAGCACTTGAAACATCATTAGTAAAGATGATAATTACTGTGATTTCTTCTCCTGCAGTTTATACATGCAAGCTGTCAGACCGAGAACATCCCCTCTACCTGCGTTTGGTGGCAGGCCCCAGAACAGAAATGCTCAGTTTTGTTCTACGTGAACATGAAACTGGAGAAGTTATGGTATGTTACACTTATGCTGGTTTTGTGTGTGTTTAGCTTCATGGATGAGTGGGCTCCTGTTCTGTGCTGACAAGATGATCCTTTCTTTGGAAGCAGGTTTTTTTTTTCTTGTTATATTTACTTTGTGCCCTTTGTAAACATTTCATTTGTGGTTAGACTGACCTGTTGTTACTTGCAGAACAAAAAACAGTTTAAAAGAGTAAAATGTTTTCAGATCCCTAAGATTTGCAAGGAGGGTTCCCGGTACTGTTTCAGTTTGAAATTGTTTTGAGTGTCTGAGGTTTTGTTTAAAAATACTGTATATATAAATTACTTGTGTATTTTCTGTTCATCTCATCCATCCTTTTCTCTTTCTAGTGGGAAGCTTTTAGTATTCCTGAACTGCAAAACTTCTTGCGTATACTGGACAAAGAGGAAAATGAGCAGCTGCAAATCTTAAAGAAGCGTTACGCAGCTTACAGAGACAAACTTGAAGAAGCCCTTGGTGGGGTGTGGAAACCTGGTTAAAAGGGGGCCAAAGGACACTCAGGAAAAATGCACGCTACCGAATGTCAGTATAGCATGCCAAACCCAACGTACAAAGAGCAGCAGAGAGTAGTTTTCTTTATTTGGAAGACTGTTTTGTGATGCCAGGGTACCTGAATTTTGCTATAGACTTAGTTCCATAAGCCAGGTCACTTAGCATCTTGCACCCACAAGTAAGGGATTCTGCATGTTTGTACATCAGTTTGCAACCCTCTGTGTGCCTAGAGAGTTTTCCAAGTTATCTTGGTGCAAGCTGTGAAACTGTAATCAATTTTCTAGGATGCTATGAAATAAGACTTTATTTTTTTTTTCTTCTTTGCTTTAATGGTAGCTTTACAAGTAAGGATGTGCAAATTGATGGGTTAAAAAAAGAATAAAACCGTCTGGACAAGAATTAGTTGGAGCACTATCTTTGAGATGAAATTGATTTGCACTACCTTTCTGTTTTCAAATAGTTACTGTATAATTTGAGAGAACTGTGTTAGATGGAAGACGTACAAGGTCTTGTGGTTTGTTCTGTGAAATTTGTGGAAGGCTTTAAAGTGGTCTTTCTGGAGAAGGTGAAGAGAAAGTTGAAAAGGTAAGAGTTGAGGGAGGAGAACTTTAACAGCTGGCAGAGGAGGACTGGTTTTAAATAGAAATAGTATTTATACAAAGGAAAGTTAAAATACTAATTCTACAAGATTAAAGTTTTAGGATGTTATAATATTGTGAATAAGTTTTATGGTTTTTTTAACTGCATAAATCCACACTGGAAAAGAAATAAAGATAATAGAAATAATGGGAAGGAATGATGGGCAAAAGCTAAGTAAGAATGGAAATGGAGCTGCACATACAAGTCATTATTGGAGAAGCTGGTTCCATAAATGTGTAATGGGGGTTTGAAAAGTGCAGCAAAGCTGAAAGGTGGCTGCTTACTTGAATTCTGAAAAGTGGACAATGTCTCAGATAACTCTGTGAGAAATGCCCATCTAGCGAGTGTTTAGACATAAGCTATAACTACAGATGCATTTGGTCTTTACTGTAATTCAGACCTTTCCTCTGGCTCAGCGATCCGTTTTTAGGCTGGATAATTTTGAATTTTCATATCTGAAAGACAAAAATAGTTTCCTCTGCTTCTTTGTTTGTTGAAGGCTCAGTCAAGCAAAGAAAGTAGAATTTCTTCTTCATGTTTCCAGCTTAGCAGAAAATTAACATTTATTGGCTGTGTTGGTGACTGAGCTTAGTAACTCCTTACTTTTAGTCATTCAGAAGGCTTTTTCCTTATGGTTTTTAAATTCCTAATTGAAAAACTGATTACCAAATCCTGCAGACTGCTGATTTACTTGATTTAAAAGTAGGAAAAATGTAGCAAGAAAACTTTTTACTTTACTGTAAATATAATTGTTGTTCTTTCGGAGTTATTTATCTAAAAAAGCATGTTCAAAAGAAACCAAAGAAGTGGGTGTGCAATAGAAGCATGAGGCAGATTTGAGTAACTGATACTTTAGTCATTATCATGCCAGACAGGAAATGAGTTATATATTGGGGGGAGGGGGGGGGAGTGCTAACGATTTAAGAGCAGCAGAAGTTGGTGGGGTTTTTCCCTCCGCTCTTAGGGTGTTCGTCTTAAATTCCCAAGGAATTGTTAAAACTTTGGTGACATCTAATGGATACGGTGTGAAACTCCAAGATGCTTCTGTTCTTCCCCTTAATTTGATGTAATTGTGCCTTTGTTTCCTTTCCTTAGTAGGACTTTTTTTTTAAACTCTTCACTGTTTTTTTTGGTAAAAGAATTTGCAAACTTAATGGGACAATCATAATGTTTTAAAGTGTTAAGAGAAATTAAGAGTAGGACTAACTATAAAGTATATATAAGGCATATCTTGTTTGTTTTTTAATTTCACATGTAACATTGTAGTGCATGTGTGAGTTAGTAACATTATCCTCAAATGAGACACTTTATAATGGTTCAGGGAATGCTTTTATGTTTTGTTACAATTTGTTTTTCTATGAACGCAGCAGCATGTTGGTGGGTATTCTGTTAACATCTACTTAATTTATGCATCTGCCCGTAACTATGTAACCATTACATAATCGCTGTCAATATTGAACCATTTGTTGCTCAGATTTAAACACTGTTTGAGTCTAAAAGTGGAGTATAAAAACGTGAATTTTGTTTTTACTTGAACTGAACTATCAGTCTTTTAAGTAGGCACATCTGCATTTACTTTAGCCAAAAACCTCGATCAGTGTTGTATGCACTATGAGTCTTGATTTGGGGTGAAGGGGGTGGGGGTGGGGGACCAAAATAAACTTGTATTTTAATTTTGTCTTAGTCCACGGTTAATTACTGTAAGATGTCATGTGTGGGGTTAATTTTGTTGTTGTTCTCTTTACACACTGGCAATTACAACAGCTTTAATTTAAAAGAAATGGTTATGCCTAGCCAGTTTTTCTTTTTTTTTTTTAATTTTAGCATCAAATTGAAATGTCAAAGCTTTTGTTGCAAAACTGTTTTCATTTCATTATGTGATGGTACCAGAATGATTAAATGATATGGGCAGGGGGGGAGGGGGAATGCAGGGAAACATATGAAAATGTATGTCTTTAAAAACAAACATTTAAACTATTTATAATTTTGACAAGCTTAGTTTTATTTTTGTAGGGAAGTTTTTATTCCCCTTAAAGTTATTACTGAAATGGCAAAAAAAAGTGATGGTTCCATTATTAAAGTTGAAGTTGGCAATACTTAGTTGTGTGATGTGTGTTTATTTTTTTTCTGTTACCTGAAGCTGGTGTTGTGATCACTGATGCCAAATGAGACTTCCTTGTAGCACTAAATCATGTAGGGAGGTGCAGCTTGCCTTGAGCATAAATTAAGGTTTCCCTGGAACAACAGATACATTTCAGTGTACGTGTCCCAGTCATACTTATATATATTAAGATGTTTTAATTTTGCTTCCTGATTTTGGTAAAGAATAACACAGGCAAAACTAAACCCAATCGATTTACTCAAATACAACAAGAAAAAAAACCCCGAATACTTTGAAATTGACACACAAACTTTGACATTTACCACTTTCTTTCCCACCTTTACCTCGCACTCGGCCCCGTCGGAG